TAATGTGTGCGCGGAAACAGCGTCGAGCCAGAAAGCCTGCGCGCATAAAAATATCCTATTTTCAAGAAATATCCACTAGAGGCCGCGGACGTTCCGCGGACGTTGGCCCCAATCTACTTTAATAAGCAGCCCCAGTCCCGCGGACATCCGCGGACGTTCCGCGGACATCGCCAAAAACCACAAAACGTACATGCCCTGAACGCGATATGGCGCTGCCGGAACCTCCTTTTTCTTGACCGCGACTGTGTGCGTTCTGTGTCCGTCAGAACGTGAAGACAACGCTATTGTCTCCTGTTCTGCGCGCGTGAGTGTGACCTTTGTCGCTATACTTGCCTTGTGGCTGCTTGCCTTCTCTTTCGCCTTGTGTTGGCGACACGCGCTGCGTATACAGCTGCGCACTTCCCAGTTGTTGGTGCGCTGACAGTGCCCGGAGAACACGTGGTCCTGCAAAGGCCAGTCCTGGGAACCCGCAGTTCCCTGCAGCGCGCCCTCCCTGGGAACGCGCAGTTCCCTGTCGTTTGCGCGCAGACCGTGCCCGGTGAACACGCGGTTGCACGCGGAGGACAGTCCTGGGAACCCGCAGTTCCCCGGATGCATGTGGTGTGCACTCCACGCGCATGGGGGCCCGGACTTCCCTGCGGCGCGTCCGCGGTGCGCAGTTCCCGTATACGTCTTCGCGCTTTACAGGCGCCTTTTAAAGGTGCGTCCTGCAGGCGCGTCCACGGGCGCGTCCTCAGGCGCGTCCCCTGCAGGCGCGTCCTGCAGGCGCGTCCACGGGCGCGTCTTCAGGCGCGTCCCCAGGCGCGTCGCGCCGAGCCCGCGGTCGCAGATGCCGATTTCCTGCAAGCAGCCATCAACTTTTTCTTCCTGGGTGCAGAAGTCTAAAGCTTCTATCAGGCTTGCCTCCTCCTCCGGAGGTACTCCCGCGTGAGACAAATGGTCTGCTAGCGAGCTCAAATGCATCCGCCTGATTTCTTGTTGGCTGGGCTCCAAAATCTTCAAAGCCTGCTCCATTGCTTTCAAACAAGGTTCCCAACTGCAACCACTCATGCCAAAAGTCTTGCTCGAGTGCGGTTTGAACGCGCGTTTTGAGCCGGATTGACGCTGCTGCGTGCATGTACATGCTATACTCTGAGTAGATCTATATAAGTTCACAATTCAATGTTTTTGTAAGTAGCACGTGTGTGCAGTGTAGGTGACGCAACTTACTTCCGCGGAACTTACCAAGTTGAACTTACGAAGTACCGTAACTGCAGGTAGTACTTGCGGAACTTGTGGAAGTTATAAGTCAACATATAACTTCCGTACGTGCACTTGTACTTAGCTTATAAGTTAACTTATAACAGCCACAACTTATAAAGACCCTCATAGTACCGACGTACATCAAATGCGGGACAGGGATTCTGCCATAGCGACCCTCTCCGTAGTCGAAACGCAGGTCCAGGCAAGATGCACCGCGCGCGCAAGGACCTCAGACAATTTAATTCGTGTCATTATTTTATATGGCTTATCACTTCGCAACCTCAGGTACTCCGAAGCCTCCGAAGCTGCCAACACCGAAGCAGAGGAAGCAGCAGGCCAAGGCTGAGAAGAAGAAGGAGAAGGCAACTCAGCTTGATGGCCTCCGGCTTGCTAGCGATCTACTAGCGATGCCTCCAACCCTACTAGCGTTGGCTTCCACCCTACTAGCAATGGCCTCAACCTAATAGCGATGGCCTTCACCCGACTCGCGATAACCTCCACTTTGATGGCTTCTCAATTTGTCATTCTGTTCTCTCTTCGTTTTTCTTCCTTTCTTGTTGTTTTCCTCGCCTTTCTCACATCCCAGTTTGCTGCGCGCGGGAAGCAGCAGCCAGACTTCGAGGAGCGCAAAGCTGCCAGCCAGTGAGGTTATTTGTGGAGTCAGTGTGGACGTCATATTAATTGACATGTGTTGAAATCACTTGGAACAGGACAAAACACCATTCACATTTCATATTATTCGTTGATAATCATTTGTATGTATGAAACTATACCGGCATAGACCCCAGATAGCACTTCACGAAAAGGATAGCATGGCAAGAGCGGGAGACAAGCTTGGGAGACATCCCACTCAAAGCCGGGAAAAGGATGGAAAAGGTAAACAAGACCTAAATCATCTTATAACAGCATCCGCGTCAAAGGCAGGCAAGAAAAGCCAAGGGCGAAATCAGGAACAGAGACAAGCTTGGGAACCACAGCGGCAGCCAAGAGCGAAATCATGAAGGGAGACAAGCGTGGGAGACCGCTTGAGAGACAAGGCGGCAGCGGCAGCCAAAAGCGAAATCATGAAGGGAGACAAGCTTGGGAGACAAGGCGGCAGCGGCAGCCAAGAGCGAAATCATGAAGGGAGGGAGACAAGCTTGGGAGACAGGGCGGCGGCAGCCAAAGGCGAAATCATGAAGGGAGGGAGACAAGCCGGCAGAGGCAGCCAAGAGCGAAATCATGAAGGGAGACA